TGCTCTTCCGATCTCCCCAAAACCCCAAAACCCCAAAACCCCGTGAGGCAACATTTTTTTAAGATCAAATTAAGTATTTAATTACAGCATATATAGATCTATATAAATATATTATATGATATATTCAACAGAAATATTTATTATGCGGCCTGCTTGTACACATATTAAAAATATTGAACACACCTTTTCTGTTTCCCTCTGCGGCATTTGTGCTAGAACTCATTTCCATTGATTTCCTTGCACTATCTTCATTATCAAGTATCATAAACTGGTCTTCGTCTATTCCCTCAAGGTAAATTTTCTTAAAATTCAAATCATTTTATGTTTATTGAGTTGCATATTAAATCTGAGAATTAGTCTGCAGCGGCTAATTTTGTAAAATATTGCTATTGCTCAATTGATTTTTCTTACTATTGTTGACTACATTACTTTGCCTATATGCCTTTAATTTAGGCTAAATCTTATGGTGCTTCTAGCTATCAATAGTAATTATATTCAATTACTCCTGCTGAGATTGATAATGTTGCTAATATGGCATAGGGTATTTCTTCTTTAATTCCATAGTTATAGAGTTATTGCCAGTCTCATAAACTTTTAACTTGGTCTTATCCTTTTATTCTTGCTGCTGTTTTATCATACTTCTCGCTAAATCTATTTCTTATTATGTTGGCTATTGAAAGCTAAAATTAACCTTAACTTATTCAGACTCTAATGAGTTATCCAAAGATGAAGCACCTAATTTTTAGGAAAGCCAAATCTAAAGTTATTCTAAATTTTTTCTATCACTTTAATCACTTTTTAAAGAGGGTTTTCCTTTTTTCTTAGGAGATTAAGGATTTTTCTTGATAACATCATTTGAGTATTTCTAATATTGGTTGATTGCATCAACAAAGTCCATGTTATGAGGCAAGGTCATATAAAGAGGGAAATTTTAGTTTTGCTATGAAGATTGATGGCTTCTATTAATTATTTACAACATAGACTCTTCCTCCTTTGAAGATTGCATGATTTAATAAAACGTCATCATTGACTCTTTTTTCTCGAAGCATTCCTCTTATGTAACTAGGCGTCTCTAGGCATCTAGAAACATCTCAAGTTAATCCCCTAGATCAATGTCATTACTCATTGATTTATTGCTGCTTCTTTTGGAGTGTTTAAAGCACTTTTTTATCTCAGGCTTTTTACTACTTGGACTCATTTGGTATTCAACTTGACTTTATTAATTAAATTATTTTTATTGTTACTGCTATTAGTAGATTTAGAATTTCTCTATCAAAACAGATTTACTTTTTGATGAGTCTTTCTTTGGCATTATTTTGATTTAACTTGTTCTTATAGTTTATGCTTTATCCTTATGTTGCTTTAGCTTTTTATTTGATTATGGAAGCATCTATTTGTAGTTTATTATACTTGGCTTTTATATCATTCTGACTGCTGATGTCTTTCTTGAATTAAAGCTAGATACTGCATTTTTTGGGATGTTAAGGGATGCATTTGTCTCTTATAAGACACCTTAGGTAAAGAATTGAATATTTTGAACACTCTAATGCAATTATTTAACAGAATTAAGATTAGTGCACAAATTTTGATTGCTAGTTGAGTTTTTTATTGTACTCACTCTCTAGACATTATTGTTCTTGAATGGAATCTTGACGGCTATTGGTCTAGGAGTAATCCTTGCTCTTTGCAATGAGTTTTAATGTGTTTGAAGTTTTAATATAGATTTTTATCCCGTCAATCTTGAATCTCGAAGGCTTTAAAATTGGCACGCTCTGGCTGTACTTTAAATTGATGAAGCTCTGCTAGAATTATTTGTTGTAGTTTATTTATCAGCATCCCTTATATGCTTTTCATAATCAATTAACTGTTTGTTTCTATGCATAGCACTTAAACTTGACCTCTTGCTTTCTTTTTAGGCGTTTTCTAGGAATGACATAGGCTTAACAAAAGAGTCAAACTCTCTGATAGGCCTAGTTACTGAAGATTATTATCTTTTATACGGAGTTAATTTACATTCCAAGGTACTAACCTTAAGTTTTTCAGTAAGAGTCATGTTATTAATTGAAACTAATTCTGATCTTAAGCTTGTAGCTGATTCAATCTAAATTCCTTTCCTTATATTTTTAGCATTTCCTTTTTTCTCATTAGACATTTACAAGCTTTGAAAGTGAATTCTCTCTGAATTTTATGTCAATATTTTTGAGTCATAATGCTTTTAGCTCTGCCTGACATTGCTTGTTGTTTCCAAATTTCTACTGATATTAATAGACTACCTTTCATCTATATGAATAGAGGAAAACAAAGAACTCATTTTCTCATTAGATTGATATCTAGTTAGTTTTTGCTTACTTTTCTTTTGAGTTGATTGGTGTAGTCGGTTTTAGTAGGTAGATTAAGATTTAACTGGAGTGCTATGAACATCTGTTTGTCTTTTTTTATTGCTCATATTGGAGTTTTACCTATTAAGTTTGATGCTACTAGAAAGTTGCACATCATATAGAGATTTTTACATCTAAGATAAATATCACGAATAAAATTTATATTAATTCAATTATTTTAGCAAAGTTATTGTTATAAATACTATTAGGATTACTAGTAGTCGGGGTTTTGGGGTTTTGGGGTTTTGGGG